TTGGATAAGAATGATAATATTTTTATTATCAAGGATGAGATAAGATGATGTGGTTCAATAGGGTAAGGATAAATTTGTCACAACTTAAGAAAATCAAAGGGGTAGATTATATCCCCGACAAATCTAGCAACAAACGGATTTCCTCTGATCTCGCAAATGAACTGAAGGAGAGTGGTTATAAGAATGAGATCCTATCAGTCAATAAAGGTACGACAAAAAACTAAATTTAAATCCCTACCTTTCTTTTAGACCTCCGGTGACTGACTTGATCGTCGGAGAGCTCTTGACAGGTACTACACCGGTGCATTCAAGATTCATCGATCTTCTACTCTCTTCTTTACAAGAAAATGGTGTCATATCAGACCGCGTGGATTTCTCCCCCAATAGTAATGACAATCCAAATGGATTCTATGGGAAGGCGTGTTAGAGTTGCATCAATATTCTTTTTTGGTTTATCTAATGCAAAAACAACAGAGGTATTTATCTTAAGGGAATCATTTTATCTTGGTTTACAAAGAGTCGATCTTCTTTTTTGGGGTATCTACTGCAAAAACAACAAAGGCATTTGTCTTGAGGGAATCATTATATCTTGGTTTACAAAGAGGTTGACATTGAGGGGAATTGTAAATCAATTATGCAACTTCAAGCAAATTCTAATAGAGGATAGTGTTAATCTATTGAAACATCTCCCAAGTCATGGACTAATCGTGTATGTAATACTACGGCTCAAAACAAACCTATGTTTACATCTGTATTTCAAAGTAGGAAAACGTGATTTATTCATTTAAATATTTATTCTATGAAAAACTTAACAGATGATTTCATATATATATATATATATATCATATCTTACCTTCATGCATGTCTAATCATAAAATAAAATAATATAAATTTAAAGAATTTTTAAAATAAATGGGAGGATTTACAATTATCCATATATATTTTACAAGCTTTTATCCATCTGAAATAAATAAATAAAAAAAAAAAACTATAATAATGAGATTATTCAAAATATTATTTTTTTTTTCTTCCTAAATGGGTTGACGGGTTGACCCGGCCCATTTTGACACAATCCATAGCTAACCCGTTACAGACGGATTGAATATGAGTCACAACCCATATTTTACCTGCCCAAACCCGACCCAATCCGCCTGTTTGCCATAGGAATCTCCAAGCTCCTTCCACGAATCATACCATACCAACCCTTTCTTCTCCGCCGCCTAAAGAGCGCACATACACCAAAATCACCATCACCATCACCACATAGCCATGGAGGTTCTCTGAACTTCTTGATCAATTCCCGCCCATATCTCTGGTTTGTGTTTGTTGGTTGATATCTTGGCTTCTAGAGCCTCATTAGTAAGTATAAATATATATATTTTTCCTTCTTTGTCAACTCACTTATTTACTAAAAATAAAAATAAAAACTTTCATGTCCTTGGATTATAATTTTTTTTAATTGTTTATTTTAACTAAATGATACTCGGATATCACTTCACTTTCTATTGCTTTACTTTCTTACTTTATTTTCTCTCCAACCTCACCAAGCCTAACAATTCTTTTGTTTTTTTTTTTCCCCTAATTAGTATTCACATACATGTCTAAGTCAAACAATTCAAACAAGAAGATTTAAAAATATTAAGATAGGTTAACACCTGTGTTACTTTCTCATTATCTTACATAATATCATACCCTTTTCTTTCTCTTCTCAATCCCCAATTAGACCTTAATTAATTTATTTTTCCATCTGACTTGAGTACCTTTAAAATAAGAATTCTAATTTTGTGACCATTGCTGAAATTTCTCTCCAATTACCTTTCAGCCTCAACCTCATCTAATCAAGACTTTTCAAAAGGGAAAATGCTTCTTAAGTCCTCAAATCTGTGAAGGGAAAATGCTTCTTAAGTCGTCAAATCTGTTATGTTTGTGGCGGATGACAGGTCGCGACTCGTTTATTGAGCTTTATTGGTCCAAAATTTTTTGTCCCGCTTTCGTTCATGAGTTGTGTATCCTAATTAATATTCTCGTGTAGCCCAACATAAAAGAACTTTAAGATTTGGAGTACGTGTAAGAGAGACCTCTAAAATTTGTACAGAATTAAGAGTAAAGAGCTAAAAACTTGTAATCTCAAATTTTACATGTAGTAAATGCTTTTGCCCGAACTTTAAGATTTGGAGTAAGTGTGAGAGAGACCACTGAAATTTGTACAGAATTGAGGGTAAAGAGCTGAAAACTTGTAATCTCAAATTTTACATGTTGTGAATACTTTCCCGATCTCCACTGTGGACATAGATTTAAATGAACTATCTATAAATCTTTATGTTCTTTATATAGTGTTTTTATTTTTTTGTCATATTTCGTAATTGTTGCTTGTTTTGCTATGTTTATTGTAACAAAACCCATTTGTATAGTCGAAGGGTTTTTATCCTTTCGAAGTAGTAAATGGACCACGCTTAAGCTTATCCACTATATCAGATAAAAATCCCATCGGTTAGATTTCTAGACCAAACAATTCGGACTAAATAACAATGCTCTTTCTATTGGAGTTTAATTGTTAAAAGATTTGGTTCACACCTCTCAGCCAAGTACAAAGATTAACAACAATTGAGAGGTGACATTCTCACCGAACACTTGACCTGGTTTCATGCATCAAATTGAAGCATCAAACCACTCTAATTCGGTGAATGAAATCGGTCCAATCGGTCATACTTCTTCACTTCTACAGATGAAAGTTAACGGTTTAAGTCTCCATAATTACAACTATAAGACACCAAAAGGTCAAATATTGCATAATTTCTAATATGTCATGGGTACATGATTTAGCCACAGAATGAATAATTTCTAACATGTCACACACACAAATGATTTATTAAGCATCAGCATATGCTTTACCTGATTTATTCAAGAGACGTCACTCTCATATATGATGACAGTGACAAATGTTTCTTCTTCTTCTTATTATTATTATTATTATTATTATTATTATTATTATTTCAGTAACGAAGAAAACACATGTTTCTTATTGGATAATGCATTCTTCTCCTCCTCTCTCCAGTAGACTTCTGATCTTCAGAATGAAGCTCAACATAATCTCCAGTCCTTTCTCATCTACAAATAATTGAAACCAAAAATAACAGAGGGGATGTTTGTGTAATTAGTTGCATATAATGAAAGAGTAATGATACATCTTCGGAATTTGGAGAATGCCGAATAAGAGTTATGAGAGTGGGGTTACCCCACCATATGATGTCACGGTAATATAATGTGATGAAACCCACACCTTCACGCACACAAAACTCTATCGGTATCCTCCGAATCCAGAGGACGTATCATGTCCAAACTGAAATTGCATTTTGCAAAGGAAAGAAAACAGAATTTAATGAATTACCTAATTTAGGGACCCCATGACCTTCATGGTGATATATCACAAAGGGGTCTACATTATGATTTCAGGAGTTCAATCCCAGCTGGCTTTGCAAAGTCCTTCTCACCTACAAAGTAGTAATTGTAATTCATTTACCCTTTTAAGAATATGGCAATAAAAAATCCAAGCACATAAAAGAATGGTAAAAAAGAAAAAATAAATAAATAAAAAGTTAAGCAAAAAAAAAAGAAAATGCAAAACCAAGAAATATCCCAATAAAAAATACCTATGAAGTGGAGCGATGGGCATTCAATTGGAGAGGAAAAGGCATTTTCAGCTAGCTTTGGGGCAGAAAAATCTATCCCTCCAAGTTTAGCCCCAGATATTATTATGACAAATTTTATTTTAGGGACTCGAGTTAGAGCCACACCCTGATATCAAATGACAATTAATCAGTTCCATTTCAATCTATATAAGTGCAAATTAATTGCCTGATAAGTGATAATTAACTAATTGGTTTTACTGGTGAACTAAAATAATTTCAGACTTTTTCTTTTCTTTTCTTTTCATTTTAAAACAAATTTGAACCATTTAATTATATCACCCTGACTTGCTAGAAATACTATTATCAAAGAAACAAAATTAAGGAAAAAAAATGATATGTTGCACTATACATGTGTCTGCATCCCTGGTAATGCAGCTGCTAGTAGTCCTCCTTTTTCAAAAAAAATCACAAAACATACATCAGAAAATGCATGAATGTTAGATATGCATATTTATAATTATTTTCTTTTATTTGTGATGAAAAATCAGGGGGAAAGAAGAAAAGATGTCAAGACCCTTCCTAAATCTCGTTGTTTAGGACCTCAAGAATGAAGAAACTAAAAGGCAAACAATAATTAAGCCAACAAATTAACGTTGCTCGTATTGGGAACTCGAATTCTCGACCTTGTATTTTGAAAGGTTAGGATATACCACCGACTATCGCCCATGGCGGTGCCTTATGTAACTATTCGACATAGTATAGATGACTTGTATTTTGAAAGGTTAGGATATACCACCGACTATCGCCCATGGCGGTGCCTTATGTAACTATTCGACATAGTATAGATGACTTGTATTTTGAAAGGTTAGGATATACCACCGACTATCGCCCATGGCGGTGCCTTATGTAACTATTCGACATAGTATAGATGAATCACTAGGCATGTTTGCTCATGTGGTTCAAGGTTTAGTCAAATCACAAGTATCTTGAGCTTCAAAAAAAAAAAAACACTTAAACTAAATGGGATAATTTTTCGTTTACACATCAAATGTTCCAAAATTTGATACAGATATAAAAAAAATTGTTACCTGAGAAAAGCCTAGCAACCCATCAAATGGTCTAAGCCTGACCATGCAATCTTCAATGTATGCGACACACTCATCAAAATTCCTGTACTCAGAATGATCCCACAAATGACACTATCACAATTTTCTTTAAACACAGCAAATTAATGCCACAAATTGATCAAATGAATGAGGAAATGAAATCAAATTTGAAAATCTATACTATGAGACAATCTGACCTCATTGGATTCAAACCATTCATAATGAGGAGGAAACTTCCCCTCACCACTGGGCTCTCCTTCTGCAGGAAAAAGGTGCATCTAAAAAGACCAAATCCATCATATTTAGCATAAATTCGGGCCATATTTCTAGTTCTTTTTTCAGGATTGCACCGCTCGATCTAAAACCATGAAGGCAGAGAATTCTGGGTTTTTTCACAAGTTGGTAGTCCATCTTCCTCCCAATTATTCCTTCATTTTGGCTCTGAGGATAATTTATATTATTTGGTCCCACCAGTATAGTCAGACCAGTTGTAGATCAAACATTAATGTAGTAGAATGGTACAGAATGGCTCAATTAATTTGGATTTCAGACATTTATATTCGAAATGTGAATAATAAAATGCCACGACAACCATCTTGATCATGAGTTAGGATCAGGCAAATAATAATCTACACACAGCTAGTTACCATGCATGCTGCTTAGATGACCTGAGATAATTAAGTTGCTGCCATGGTGTGTTACTTCAAGATCAGTTTCTGCGTATTGTACTAAGAACATAGTTATGTGAAGGGCATGGTAACTTATTAATCAACATGCTTAGATTCCATAACCATCCTTAGGCACGGTTGTTTGGTTGTGAAGTGTGACTGAGAGTCGAGTAAGTCTCGACTTGCCTGCAGAGAACAGACTACAGACTATTTGTTCACAATTTTGTGGGTGAATTTTTGTGCATAGATGGTGGTGGACCTTTGCACAATGGTAAAATTGTTCCATTATGATAAGAAGCTTGGGCTAACAAGTGTAGATAATAGGTTCGAGTACGAGAATGTCACTTTGTGCATTATCTCTGCTCTTCCCCTTCTTGTATTCTAACAAATTAAAAATTATCAAGAGGGTACTTTCACTGTGAGCTCTACCTTGCAGCCTGCAGGATTGACATGGTTAGAAAATCTATCCATAGGAGGCTCGGAGACCCTCAATCCAAGTCTCTCAATCCAACAGCTATAAGTGAAAGCTCCAAATATTTCCTCTTCAAACTAAGGGAGATATAATGCCTTGATGAAAATTGCAATCTCATAATAGCTATACAAGTTTTTGAGAACAAATCACAAACATTTATATATACTGAACTTTGAACAATCGAGGACATCTTATTAGAATGGCACAAGGTCTTGAAGAGGTTGAGATCATGAGATTCACTATTACTACAAAATTTATGGTAGTGGTGTCAGAAAAATAACCATGATTCTGGGTAGTCTCAGGAAAAAAAAAAAAAAAAAATTCAATTTAAGCACATAACAGAATGGGTTTATACACCCTTGCACATTTATTTGCATATTGCTCAATATCTGGTGATAAATTTATAACAGCAGAAGACATTTATGTAAATAAGATTTAATTCATAATAAAAATCAGAACAATGCAGCAAAAAATTACATATTCAAGCAGATCTTCTATTCGTCATGCAATGTCATTTTCTGAATCTTGTCTATGAAGCTGAGCATTGTCTCGAGGCCTTCCCCATCTGTTAAAATGCGAGTAAAATAATAAAATTGGTACACCATATGACTTCACTTTCGAATTTCAATACATGGGCACTAAGCAGAAGGATGCAGTTGTTGATTAGAAGATATGCATGCTCTGTAAGCATGTGCTTAAATTCACACATACATATTTTTTGTATAACCAAGAGATTAAATAATACCAACCTAGTCTTGGTACTATATGCCCCTTGGAGTGATGAATCACAATGGGATCCTCAAACGATTCCAATAATGCAACCCCCCTTTCCTTCAAGAAGTCCTTCTCACCTTTTCAGCACATATGTGGTAACTTACATGAGCAATGGTGTCTTACATGTCTGTAGAAACTTTATGAGAAGAATTTTTGTTCCCAAAAAAAAAATTAAAAAAAAATAAATAAAAGAAAAATGATAAAAAAATGCATATTTATGAAAACTAAAAGGTGTTATCCTAGGCTCCCACCATTGCCGGATATAAGAAGGGTTAGAAGTACGCAACCTTAACAACGTATGTGGAGAGGTTGTTCTCATTTCGAACCCATGACCTTCAAATTACAATTGAACAACTTATTGATGCCCAAAAGCTTGCCCTCGTATTTATGAAAACCGTTGGTTTTAATTCTCAAAGCATGTGATGGAGAGAAAGACACCTCTACATGTATGTACAAGGTTGAGGCTTTCTCTGCTTAAGGTACAGTCAATGATTTAATGTAGAAAAGGAAAACTGATCTCTTTTCAGATTTAAGTAAAAGGCCTAATTTCTTTGAACACATTTCACGATTCTTTGGAAACTGTAAATTAACTGTGTTCAAAAAATTAAACCAAACATGGGGATCAATATTTTTTGTAAAAAAAAATATAGCATTGCTAATTACATGTAATGTGTGATCACGAAAAGATGCAGAAAGTACCTATAATGTGGAGAGAGGGGCACTTGACTGGAGACAAAAATGCATAATTAGCCGCCAGCTTAGGTAACCCAAAGTCAAATCCAACAAATTTAGACCCTGATATTATTACCACAAACTTTATCCTTGGAACCTTTGTGAGAGCCACTCCCTTGGATTGCATTCCAGGCAAGGCTGCTGACAAAAAGGCTCCCTATAATTCAAACAATGATTTAAAAATTCAGAAAGACATTTCCGAAAGATCAATAATAATAATAAAGGTAAGTGCACCAAAAAAAAAAAAAAAACCAGTTATATACGGATTGTGCAAATATCCTTAGTATTCAAAAAATAATCCTACATTTTTCAAATTGAGCAAATAAAGACATTTTGTCAATTTAAATCCTGAAATATCTAAAATGCCCTTAAAACAAAATACAAATAAAAAAACACCAATTTTAGTTTTTAAGAGAGTATTAAGGGTATTTTGGGATATTTTCATTAAAAAAAAAAAAAAAAAAGTGTAAAAATTGACCCTTAGTAGATTTAGAGACAATTCCCTCTAATATCTTTTATTTTTCTCTTTAAAAATAAAAAATACAAATTAGAGACAATTTGCATATATTTTCAAATGTTTAAGATTTACATGCACTTACCAAAAAGCATTTTTTTTTCTCCCTTACCCTAATAATAACAATAACAACAACAAAAATAATATTTTACCCAAAAAAAAACAACAACAATAATAATAATAATAATAATAATAATCATGACACTTACATTGAATGTAAAATTTTCAGATTCAACCCACCTGCGAAAAACCCAGTAGACCATCAAAAGGTCCATGATTTATCATAAAATTTTCTAGGTATGCTAGACATTCTTCAAAATTGTAGTACTCTGTAAAATCCTGTGAAAACAATATAATCATGTCATATTATAATATTAGTAGTTTGTGCCTACATATGTCTATATATATATATATATATATATAGGGTTTGAAATTGGATTAGAGGGGAAGAAGAAGGTCTAACCTGGTTAATTTGGTACCATTCATAGTAGGGAGGATCATAGAAGCGTTCTACATCGGACCTCCCTCGAGCCGGATAAGGGCCGTCGACGAAGACGAGGTCTAATTTTCCGAGCGCGGTCTCCGGCCATCGGCCGACCTGTTTCTTGAGGATGGCAGCGCTTGTCCTGAAGCCGTGGAGGCAGAGAATTCTGGGTTTCATTTCGGTTTGATTTTCCATCTCAAGGGTTTTGGTTCTCACTTCACTGGATTGGTGGTGATGCTGTGAAATTGCATTCAAGTGTGTGAACTGTGTGTGGATCTGTAACCTTTTACCAGTCAGTAGTGGGGCACTGGACAGTAGGCTCATCATATTGTAATCCCAATCTTAATTTCATATGAATCGGCCAGCCAAATGGTCTTTAATGAATTTCAGTGCATCTCTCGTACGAGTCTATGTGTGCCTACCCGGGTCAATGGATTGGATACATCAAATTTATATTTGATTCGTTTAGAAAACGGATTATCGAATTTGAATTAGTAATGGATTATTAGACTCAATATCACAATCAATATCCCATTTAACTTAGACTCGGATCGAATTAGATTCAAATTCAAATTAAAATCATATTTGCTAACATATATAATTATAAAGTTAGATGAACTGAATAATTATTAATATAAAGAATCTTACTTAATATAACTATGCAATCAAATAAATATAATAATAAATAATTAATATATATAAATTTAGTAATATATAACTAATATATATAATGATAGTGAAAAATAAACCAACCTTAACCGAACCATAGAAGTAACCAAGTGTTGACTAGCCGCCAGACCTCTTCAACTTTCGAACGGTGACAGAATTTACGATAAGAACGACGATATTCCGTTAACAGGGTAAGGAAAATTGTTATTCAACATAAATCAAATCTTTAATAAACTCAATCGACTATATCAACTAGATACCATAAATATGAGACGATTTTAGAATAAGGTAGATACAGAAAAATCCTATTTCACTTATTACGATTAAATTCTCTCTCTCCAAACCCCCACTAACTTGATTGTCGGAGGGTCTACGGCCGGCACCATACTTGTGTTTGACTCAGTCTTTATTTTGTAGGAAACGGTGTCGTAACAGGCCACTGCGAATTTCAACCCTGACAGCTGGCGTCGTTTGTGGGAACGACGATTCCCTTAAATATTATTCAGTTGGGTATATGCGTTTGCGGTCCGGTATGGTTACCAAAGGAACATCGATGCAGGGATCTGGTCAAGGGGAGGGTCGAGTGAATACCCAGACGTCTCAAACGACCAGGAACGGCTTGCAGCATTAGAATTACAAGTCCAAACTTTGAATCAGGGTATGGACCAGTTGATCCAGCAAAATGCAGCGCTCTCGCAACATCTTGTTCCACCTGTTCAACAGAACTTGCCACGACAAGATCTCTCGAATCCAAACGGTGGTAATGAGAATCTTGAGGAGAGGGATAATCATCCTCCCTGAAATGGGACCGAAGTGGAACAAAGCCATGTGGGGAACCGACATAGAGAGGTGGTCTATCCATCTCTTCCATGGAGTTCCCGACCCTATGAAGACACAATAGTCATTGAAAAGAAGGAGGAGTTTTCCCATTTTGACCTAGAGATACAGGATCTCAGGGCAAAGATGGAAGATGTGATGTAGGCCATGAAGGGGAAAGGTATTGCGGCCATAGATGGTTTAGTGCAAAAGACCAACCTGCTGTTTAGCCCCTCGGTTATGAAATGCCCCTTACCAGGCAAATTTAGGATGCCCTCAATTAAAAATTTCGACGGAACTAGAGATCCCCTCGACCACTTGGAGACCTTTTAAGAGCTTATGCACCTGCATGCGATGCCGGATGAGATCCCGAACGACCCTCAAAGGATCAACATGGGTATGGTTCAACAAGCTGAAGCCAGGGACCATTGAAACCTTTGAAAAATTAAGTAAGCACTTTGTGGGCTATTTCATTGCAGGCTAGAGGCATAGAAGGCTGGCTACCTACCTTTTCATGGTAAAGCAGCAGAAGAGAGAGTCACTGGGAGACTACATTGGTAGTTTCAATACGGAGATGCTGAGGGTAAAGGAAGTGAATGACAAGGTGGCCCTGACCGCCTTTATGGGAGGACTCCAAACCTTGAGATTCCTCTTCTTTTTATCAAAGGAACCCCCTGCCAAATGGTCGAGTTATTGGTCCGAGCTCAAAAACACATGAATGTTGAAGATATTATGACTGCGAGAAAGGGAAAAGAAAGGGATGATAGGAAGGCAAAAAAGAAAAGGCCGGCCCTAACAACCAATGATGAAAAGGAAATCAAGTATAAGAAACCTATGGTCAACCAGAATGAAAAGACGTCTCGTTATAAGAGCGTGGAGAGGTATGCAAATTACACTTCTTTAAATATGCCCAGATATCAAGTTTTCCTGCAGATCCAGGATGAACCATATCTAAAGTGGCCACCAACGTTGAAATCGGACCCGACGATAAGACCTCGTGATAAGTACTGTAGGTTCCACAAAGACCATGGGCACGCCACAGAGGATTGCTTCAACCTCAAGGATCAGATTAAGAATTTGATCCGAAGAGGACACATGCGAAGGTTCATTGTGAGGAATGACAGAAACGACACTAATCCACCAAGAGTAGGCCGAGATAACCGCCCCCCCAATCAGCAACCAATGGGAGAAATCAGGGTTATAGCCTGGGGATGTGCAGGAGGTGGGGAATCAAGCTCAGCCCGTAAGGCCCATGCCAGGAGGATACGAAGCTCATTTGAGGTGTGCGAAGTTGGAGTACAGATTTAACATCGAAAAATGCCTTGTCTAGGTGGTCCTGTTATCATGTTTTCTGATGAAGATATTAAGGACGTGCAACAACCCCATGACGACCCTCTCGTTGTCACTATGTGATCGCTAACTATAGTATTCGGCGAATAATGGAAGTTCGGCTGATATTATTTTCCTTGATGCATTTAATAAAATGAAGATTGGTAAAGAGAAACTCAGACCTACTAGATCACCATTAGTGGGATTCTCGGGAGATAAGGTCTATCTTCTAAGAGCGGTCATTCTTCTTGTCACTGCAGGAACCAGCCCAAAACAAGTTACTATCATGGTAGACTTCCTAATGGTGGATTGTCCATCTGCTTACAACATTATCTTAGGAAGGACGACTTTAAACTCGATGAGGGCCATCACTTCGACTTATCACCTCTTGATGCGCTTCCCCACAGAGCATGGCGTAGGCGAACTAAAATGAGACCAGACCACTGCCAGAGAATGCTATGTTGCATCTCTCAAAGAAAAGAAGTAACAAGAGGCCTTGATTGTTGAAGAAATTAAAGAAAAAGAACGCGATCGAGCGAAGCCAATTGAGGACCTGGTGGAGATATGCCTAAATGACAATGACGTAACAAAAAAGGTGAGTATATGGTCTCTGCTCCCCTCAGATCTCACGAATGTTCTTGTACAGTTCCTCAGACAGAATCAAGATATGTTCGCATGGTCACATGAAGACATGCCTAGTATTAATCCAGCTATGATCAAACATCCATTAAACATGGATCCTACATTCAAACTTATCAGGCAAAAATGAAGAACATTTGCAGCAGAGAGGAACATGGCTATATCAGAAGAGGTGAACAAGCTTCTGAAAGCTGATTTTATCTAAGAGGTTAATTACCCCAACTGGTTAGCCAATGTTATTTTAGTAAAAAAGGCCAATAGAAAATGGAGATTGTGTATAGATTTTACTGATTTAAATAAGGCATGCCCTAAAGACAGATTCCCTCTGCCAAGAATCAACATGTTGGTAGAAGGAACGGCTGGCCATGAATTGCTCAGCTTCATGGGTGCATATTTAGGGTATAACTAAATCTTAATACATCCATTAGATAGAGAGAAGACATCTTTTGTCACGGAAAGAGGTTTATATTGTTACAAGGTGATACCTTTTGGGCTAAAAAATGCTGGTGCAACATACCAGTGGCTAGTCAACTTGATGTTCAAGAACCAAATCAGAAGGAATATGGAAGTATATGTGGATGACATGCTCGTAAAAAGCTTGAAAGCTCAAAACCACCTAGCTGGTCTACAAGAGACATTCCAAGTCCTTAGGAAGCACCAAATGAAGCTCAACCCAGGCAAATGTGCATTTGGTGTCTCCTCTAGGAAATTCCTTGGTTACATGGTAAGCAGGAAAGGGATAGAGGCCAACCTCGAGAAAATCTAGGCGATTCTCAACATGTGGTCTCCAGCATCGACCAAGGAACTTCAAAGACTGACGGGAAGAATCGCTACTCTGAACAGGTTAATTTCCAAGGCAACTGATAGGTGTTCACCTTTTTTTCGTGTACTTAGGAAAGCTTTTTCATGGACACCTGAGTGCGAGCAAGCTTTTACAGAGCTGAAGGAGTATCTTACTTCACCATCGTTACTATCACGAGCGATGCAAGGAGAGCAGTTGTATTTGTACTTGGTGGTGTCTCCATCGGCAGTAAGCTCAACCTTAGTCCGCGAAGAAGAGGGAATCCATAAACCAGTATATTATACTAACCGTGCATTCAAGAGGGCAGAAGAGAGATACCCAAGGATAGAAAAGTTGACATTTACTCTAGTTGTCTCTACAAGGAAACTCAGGCCTTACTTCCAAACGCATACAATAATAGTATTGACAGACCAACTACTTAGGCAGGTCTTCCGCAAACCTGATACTTCGGGGCGACTCATGAAGTGGTCGGTAGAACTTGGAGAGTTCGATATCTAATACAAACCCATAACAGCTTTATACTGGCAGATGTTATAGTAGAATTCACATCAGAAGATGAAGACCTATTTGCATAAGATAGAAGATATCGAGGGTTGTTTTAAGAAGTTTTCCATTCATCGGATCCCCCGAGAAGATAATGAGCAGTTAGACGCCTTAGCTCGACTAGCAACCACAGAGGAAGATAAAGCCATGCCTGTGGAACATTTGGATGAGCCTAGCACAGTCCGGGATTGGCCACATAAAATACACCAGGTGATCCAAGGCATGGAATGAGCAGAGCCCATTATCAGGTACATAGAGAATGAAGAGCTACCCCAAGATCGCATAGAAGCATAAAAGGTCAGGATGCGTGCAGCAAAATATTCCCTCATTGATGGGATTATCTACAAGAAGGGATTTTCTCTACCCTACTTACGTTGTGTCTCCGCTGATGAGGCAAACTATATTCTAAAGGACATACATGAAGGCCTTTGTGGGAACCATGCTAGGGGCAGATCACTAGCGCATAAAGCTATCCGACAAGGATACTTTTGGTCTACTATGTAGAAAGATGCGCTTGATTTTGTGAGAAAATGTGACAAGTGCCAAAGATTCCCTAATGTTCCAAAACGACCCATAGAAGAGTTAACCCTTCTTACAGGGCCGTGGCCTTTTGCCCAATGGG